CATTTTCTACAAATAAAAAAATTAAAGCTGTGGCAGCCACAAGTTTTTTACTGCCTGTGATATATTCTCTTTTATAAGATTGATTTAGTACAATCTATATTGTACTATATTCCCTGTTTTTATTGAAGAAAAGCATCCAGACATCATGAAGCTCCCACCTCTTTGGTACGTGTTTTTGGGATGTTTTGAGGCGTTAGTTTTCAATTATTTATTAAAACAGTTTGATCTCCCCTGACTAGAGCACCTTCTTCCAAATGTTTGATGTGTGCCGTATGTGGATTATAGCAAACTGCATAGAGCAAACTGATTTAAATTTCTCCACAACCTTACCTCTGATCTGTCTGTTGGTTCTTTACATTACGCATGGGTGAACTCTTTATAAAGAGGGTCATCTGATCAAGTTCTGTGAAAGTCACTTGGAGAAGCTGAACCCAAGCTGAACCCTAACAGTCGAGCTCTCAGGAAGGAAAACCCCGTTGCCACGGAAGCCAACTTCTCTAAAGATGAGTGGAACCAAATCGTTGACGACTTAAGGGTATGATACCCAGTGGTATGTTTTTTCTTTTCAAGAATTTTTTCATGAAGAACGCTTTTTTGTTGAACTTGTTTTTCTGTTTTTCGTCTTTTTTTTTTCTTTTTGGCAGACATGGGCCGAAGAAACCAAACAGACTGAAACCTTGTTGAAAGAGGAGTCAGTGTTTGAGGACTTGTCAGATGTGAAAATATCTCCTATAAGAAGTTCAAATTGCTTTGTTCCACATAATAAGGTATTTTATTTTAAACAGTTATACAGTGTTAACACTTCTCTTAGATTTCATTTAGTAAACATTTTTATACAGTGTTTTTCTTCCATGTTTACTAAATGGGAGTAAACATTTAGTCCCGACCCCACAAGGGACACGGGTGTACAGAAAATGGATGAATGGATACATCCCAGTTGATCCTACATATCAAACCCTGCAATAAGCTAGGTGGGTGAATATAAGTGCATGCCACACTTTTCAGATTTTTATTTGTAAAATACTTTTTTTTCATAATTACACACTGTATATATGACTGCTGTCATATATACATATATACATTTTATCTGCCAAGCCTTTTTCTGACTTGCTCTAGTATGCTAATAAGGTCCTTAATCCTAAAGAAATACAATGACCCCTAGTGGACATGATGCTCAATAGCACAAAAAGAACGCTTCTCATAACTCTGTCATCTACCATTGCTGCAGGATTGTTCGGCTCTTCCTGAAGTACCGTCCGCAGGTCTTCAGAGGCCATTTGAAACTTCCCCATGTGATAGTAAACAGTAGCACGACGGAGAAGGGCTGGTTAAAATGAAACACACCACAATAAATACTCATTTTCACATTAAAATCAGCACTCAAGCAGGTATGCAATTTCACAAAATTACACTTGTTGAAAAAAAAAAAAAAGCACCTTTTTTATTCCTTGGTTCAAGCTCAAGCACCTGCAGACAGTCTGTCATGGCATTGTGCCAGTGCTCCAGGCGGATCTGTGCCTGAGCTCTGTTGTTGTATGCATTCACAGTGGGGAAAATGGAAAGGCTCCTGTAACAGAAGAGAGCAAAAGAACTACATAAGACTAAACTTGTTCCTCCTTTAGGTCGGTTAGGAATACCATAATTATGTCTATCTGTTAAATACCAGGATTACGAAGGAAAGAATTATGCAGAGAATTTTAATCACTTTTTTTAAAGTCAAAACTTTACAAAACTTTTATTTATTTATATTTTTGGTAGAAAAAAAAACCTTATCAGGTAGAGTAGACCATTGTTGTCCTTCAGCCACTGTGTAACCTTTTATTTTAGTTTACCAATTTGACTGAGTTCCAGCTGTATCTTCTAGGCTGATGTCTTAAGACGTTGCTTCAGTATTTCCATGTAAGCATTCAGCCACACCCAGATTGTGAAGTATGGTTGTGGTCACTGTGTCTAGACACTTTCATTTCAATTTCATCACATCACAAGACATGTCTCCAGAAACTAACTTCTTCCTCCCTGTGTGCATTTGCAAACTATAATTTTGCTTTTCATGTTACATTTGAAGTGATGACTACTTTCTCGTTGAGTGGCCTTTCAGGCAGGTCTCGTTTCATGGATGAACAGTGTGACGGCTGGACATTCCTATGACGTTTTTATCCTGCATACAGCTGTTTTCAACAGATGAACATGACATCTTCGCACTTGCAGAAGTCGATAATTGTCTTCCTGATATCTCAGCTCATTTCTTGACTGTCCTATGCAAGGAAGTAGTGCGTAGTAGAGGTGTGCCTAGAAAAATATAGATGTGTCTCCAAATCTGTCAAATTCTGGAAATTAACCTATTAAAGGTGTTTGTAAAATTCAAATTTTGATGAAAATAATATACAATTTATTAAAGCATTCCCTCATTATTTGGCATTTATTATATACAAATATTATTTTGGTAAACATAATGTACCTGAAACAGGTACATTAGGTTAATTCTAAATTCTAAAAATTAATTAGAATTCATTTTTCTAATTGTTTGTCTGATTTTATGACAAACAATTAGAAAAATTAGCTATTTATCTATTTGTACTGTGTAAGTAAACAAGAACTTACACAGTAAGTAAACTAGTAAACTATATTGAATGGATATAGTAGATCCATTCGATATAATTGAATGGATATAGTAAGCTATATCCATTCACAGAAAAAAAAAATTAAAGAGGGAGTAAAATTTTATCCCTCCCCAAAAATATAACGTTTCACTTAGATAACTGTATGTTTAAAAAAATGTCTTGCAAAGTGAAGTTCTTCATAGTAGCAAAGGTGTTTAGAGACCCTGACCTGGAGTAGTATGCAACCGCCTCTTCGTAATCGTTGGCTCTGAAAGCTTCATTGCCCTTATCCTTTTCCCGATTTGCCAAAAGGAGCTTCTCCTGATGCGACAACACTGCATCACACACCGCACACACGTCACACACATAGCCAGCCACTATTGCATAATTATCACTTTGCAGCTGTAAAATACAACACATGTATTTTAGGAACACAATACGTTACATGAGGCATCCACTTCTCTCCTGATGTTCAGATGTCCTGAGTTCAGCCGAGCTGGTGGGTCATTTCTTTGCATACTCCCATCTACCTTGCCGCATTCCTCTTCCACATTGAACCTGAAAATAGAAAGCTTTGTGGCAGACAAGACCCTATATATGTAGCGCTCAGTATTTAACCATTAATGATTGCAACTGTAGATGGGATTATGCATTTCAAAGTGCATGCAGACGCTGTAATACTGCATTCTTTCTTTCAAGCATAACAGACAAAAGAGAAAACAGCTCACTTGTCCCATTCTTGATAATCACGTGGTACAACACGTTTTGAGGGATTTCTTGTTTGTTTTGGGAGTGATGTCTGCAGCAGAAAAACACTATATAAAAATGTTTACTAAATGAAATCTAAGAGAAGTGTTAACACTGTATAACTGTTTAAAATAAAATACCTTATTACGTGGAACAAAGCAATTTGAACTTCTTATAGGAGGTATTTTCACATCTGACAAGTCCTCAAACACTGACTCCTCTTTCAACAAGGTTTCAGTCTTTTTGGTTTCTTCGGCCCATGTCTGCCAAAAAGAAAAAAAAAGACGAAAAACAGAAAAACAAGTTCAACAAAAAAACGTTCTTCATGAAAAAATTCTTGAAAAGAAAAAACATGCCACTGGGTATCATACCCTTAAGTCGTCAACGATTTGGTTCCACTCATCTTTAGAGAAGTTGGCTTCCGTGGCAACGGGGTTTTCCTTCCTGAGAGCTCGACTGTTAGGGTTCAGCTTCTCCAAGTGACTTTCACAGAACTTGATCAGATGGGGATATATGCCCTCTTCACCAGACCTGGACACAAAGTAAGCCTTAAGTCATCGGACTTCAAATTCCTTGTAAAATGTTAGTCAGGATTGGTATTCCATGAAATTTTAATTTCAAATTATTTTTTAGTGCCCCTAATCCTTTATTAGATGGCTTTTAAATGTGTTTTTGAAATGCTATAATGAGCTATTTCTTCCAGTGCTTTCTAAAATATTTTGGAATGCACCAATATGCTTTAGAAAAAATATACCCCCACCCACAAAAAAAAAATGAAGTTGGCAGCATTCTGCTGTGGGGATGTTTTTCTTCAATAGGGGGGCAAAGAAAAGGGTAAGTGAAAAGATTAATGGAGCTAGATACAGGCACCTGTTAGAGGCTGCAAAAGACCTGAGACTGAAAAGCTTTCTCGTGCATTAAGACAACACCAGTATCTATTACTGCAAAATAATTTTATTTTATTTTTTTTCCCGTTAGAGTGGAAATGATAAAACAATATTGAAAGGGTAAACACCAAGAAGAGAAGGGAAATACAAAAAAGCAACACCTTTTTCCTTTGTGCACACACTGCACAGAAAGCTTAACGAAAAGAACATTACCTCAAAATTCTCAGTATCTTTTCCAGATATTTGACATCTTTGCATTTTTCAATGTAATCATAGTCCAGGTGCTCAACAGGGACCTTAGTACTGAAGCCAGCGGTTGAACTTTGAAGAGGAAAAACTGCTTCGCCACTCATGGCTGAGAGCGAAGAGAATGTGACAAAACTCAGTTATCATGTAGGAACTGTAAAACAATAACAGCAAAACTTTTAATAGCATAGTAGTAGAGCTAGTAGCGCTTATAATAACTAGTTCGGTAACAAACAATGTTTAAGATATTTGTTTGGGGCTTCGACGTTCGCCAGCATAATAAGGTCTGCCTTAGTTTGAAATCGTCCCATTAATTTATGTCCAATGGAAGCGAAGTCTAAGGGAACAACAACAAAAATTTACCTTACCTGCTCCTGTTTTCTGTTTGACCAAAGCACAATGGAGACTCCGTTGCTGTGGTAACTACCCACGGAAGACCAGCTGAACTGATCGGAAGCACGTGACGCATCCCATAAGGCTCTAAATTTGAAAGCGATGGCTGTGTGTGCGTTGGTGAACATGTAGCAGCAAAAAAGGGGTGGAAGCCGTGGCCTGGAACTGAACCTGAGGTAATAACACGGCCTTCGTAGCAGCTCAGTTCTTTTACAGGGTAAGTTTTATGTTTAACTGAAATACCTTTTTTTTTTTTTTTTTAAATAAGTGCGCCTCAACTTGGAGAACTCTACAGCTACGTTTATGTTGTACTAGTTTCCCTTGTCTTTACTCAGGTGTGTTTGGGACATGCTAATTAGTATGACTCATGTCTGGCGCAGCTGAGGGGCTCTCACAGTCTCTTGTTTATTTAAAAAGAAAATTAAGTTTTCTTGTTAATTTTAAATATATATCGTAACTAAATGCCAACATACAACAGACTTCAGTTTGGCGGTTACAGCTGTGTTTGTAGCGGCATCAGAGCTCGTGACGCAGGATTTAAATGGGCGGCACCAAGCTCTCATAGCAACGCTAATTAGACAGCTGGACCTTAGAGATGTACCAGATGACTGACTGTCTTTAGCAACTGAAAGCTAAAGTCTGTGGCGACTTTTATCTCGCTCTTCCCCTCAAAAATACCATCTATCTTGACGCAGACATGCTAAAGCTGGGGTTCTTACGTTATCTGGAAATGTGTGGAATTTTAATTTAGCATAACGTGTTTTTATCCCGAGAAGTATGGCAAAACAAAAGTATTTGAAGAGACCATTTTAAACAAAATGGATTTATACTCTGAAAATTCACTACAAACTGAAAGAGTCCGTAAATATATGGACTTTTCCCATAAAAAATGTAAAGTAATCTAGCTTTCCAGCTAAAACTTGGGCTTGTATATTAACCAGTCGACACATCTAGTGTCAACATTTTAGCTGTTTACTTTTTCATCTTCAGGTCACTTGACAACCTTTCTCATGGAACCCTTGTGTGGAAAACTGAGGGCAATGCAGTGTACTCCTAAGTCAAATATCAACCCACAAAGCTACAAAGGCCAGCATTATAATGAAGACTGTTCTGACAGCGGACTCTTGGGTTGGTTCCAGAGCCCAGGGAGCATCACAGGAGTTGACCTCTCTGGCTCGTTGTCCCCATCGGAACTCATTGAAACTCCTAAAGAGAACCTCAGGCTTCATGTCACCCCTAAAGAACAGAGCAGAGAATCTGTTAAGGTGTTGGGCAAATACACCAGAGAAGCAGCATCTGTAGTGAACTGGTGTGAAACTCCTAAACTAAACAGAAGGGGTTTTATTCTGCGCCATAAACTTCTAACATGCAAACCCACTGTAGTCAAAAATGACAGCACAGGATCACCAATTACTACAAATGCTGAAGCCTCTTTGAGTAAGAGATCTGAACACTGGCTCAGTGAATCATTTGACTCTCTAGATGTTACATCTGGTGGGGCCTCCAGGAGTTTAAACATGGGCCACGATCTGGCTATGTCTGGCAGGAAACAGCGGCTCCTCTTCACGCAGGTGAGGACGTCCACCTGTGAAGATGGCAAACTCAACACTTGCCTCCTCTCGTCCTTTGACAGAAGCGTTTCAATCATTGAGTCAGATTTCAGGGGGAACATTTCATCTTGTCAACTTGATGTAGATACTCCAAGCCATGACAGTTTGTTCCCTCTCTTAACGAAAGAAAACTTTCTATCGCCAATAAGCAGTGAAAGCAGCATTTTGTGTGACGGCACCAGTGTTTTCAACACGCCATTGTTTACCCAAACACCTAAAAACATCGGGTAAGTTTGCTTTCATTTCATTACCATTCTTTCATCTCATCTGTATAAAAGGAGGCAGTAAAAAATATTGACTAGTCAAATGTATCCTTGTCAGCCTAATGCTATTAAATTCCAAAACATCAACTTACTAATGATGAATACAGTAATATTTAATCAGTTCTCTCTTTTCTGTTTGATCACTCCATAATATGGCATCCTAAGCACCCATTTTTCATTTTAATCGTCTCTATATGTAAAAATCACTTAAGTAAATAAAGTTCACTCTTAAAATTAGATGTTTTATTTTTTGAAGAAAAAAAAAATCTTTCCCATTTTCTTTGTTGTAAAAGTGAGACATTTCAATCTCCTAACATTAATATATGTGTGTGTGTGTGTGTGTGTATATATATATATATATATATGCACACACACACATATCAGTTTACATTTTGTCTTAAAGATGAAATGGAGGAATCAGAATGGATTTAAAAGGCAGTTGCTGCATCAGCAGTTTAATAAGAGCAGTAACAAAACTGTGAATGACTGGATTAACAATTTGAGTCAGAAAGTAGTATTTAAATGATCCTATTTATTTTTTAGCTTGTTTCCCTCGCGTCCTCTAGATTTTGTTCCCATTCACAGTGGATCTGCTTAACAAAATTTGTTTGTGCGTTCGTAGCATAAACTCTTAGGTTTGTGCCTCTGTATGAAGACACTGTATAAGGGAACTTTACACAAAGGTGCTTTATACAGTACTTATGTATAAATTTTGTCATTTGCTGTAAATGTTTAGAGAATTGAATTTGAAAACATTCTAATCTTACCATCCTTCTAACCTTGAAACAGGTCGGTGAATGAAGACAGTGGCTTCAGTTCCTTAACGCTTGATAAATCACAAGACTCCTCAGACCATGATGGCTCATTCCAGGAGCTTCTCATTTCTGCTTCCAAAGGAACCGGTAGAACTCCGACTCTGACTGATGTGAAGAGGCGCTCCCGTTTGCATCGTCAACACCGGCTTTCCACTCTTAAAGAAGGTGGTTCTCAGTCCGAGGAAGACCAAGCAAATAGAAAGCATGAAGATCCTTCTAAATGTAGCAGCCATTCTACTGATGATGTTTTCGCTGATGCCACCCCTTGCAGCACAATGTCTGCTAGATGTTTTAATAACCTGGTTTCTGGAAAGCATGACCCTCACACCCCACTGGGAGGCCCTTCATCCACGGATGCAGATCCTGCTCATCATTCCATGACTCCTCTCAGAACAACCCCAGTCAATCTATCTCTGACTCCAGCCTTGCAGCTAGTTCACGCTATGTGCCAGTACAAGTTTCAGAAGTCTGCAGGTCAAAGTCCCAGTCTGAAAGAAGAGTTGAAATTCACAGCAGCATTAGCAAAGACTGCAATGATGTTCAGGACCAGTATGCCTTTGGCAGGGCTGATTGGCAGAAAGATGGGCCTGAGGAAGCTGGATATACTGACGGAACTGAAGAAGAGGAATCTCAGGCACATCTTGGCTAATATGTTCAGCAAGCTGAACTCAGAATGTCTGTACAGGTGATGTGTGCATTTTTATTCAAGTAATTCAATTCACAGCCAATCCCAAATTCTTTAGATATTTTGTAACTTGAATCTAATCCTTTCTCAATCAAGTCTGATTTAAAGTACAAAAATAAAAGCAGAACAAATACTTAAATAAATGTACAGGTACATCTAAAAGAAATTCAGACAAAGTAAAAGTTCAATATTTTTTGGTCACTCATTTTAGAAAGTTAAATGTATGTCATAGCGTGAAATATTTAAAGCCTTTGTAATTCTGATAATTGTGGCTTGCAGATGAAAACCTAAAGTTCAGTATTTCAGAAAATTGGGAAATAAAAAAAATTGCAGCATATTCATAGAAAGTTAAGTGGTAAGAAAAGGTGCACCAGCAACAACCAACTTAGGAGGGCCGTCAAGCAGAACCCATTCAAGAATTTTGTGGAGCTTCACAAGTATTGGCCTGAGGCTGACTCAGCTACGTCCAGACGAATCCTACACTTATGCTACAAATGTCGCATCCCATGTATCGAGCTACTCCTGACCTAGAGATGCCATAAGAATTGGACTGTTGTTCAGAGATCAAAGATCTGTTGTTCAGTTTACTTTCATTTCAGATGAAAGTAAACTCTGCATTTCGCTTGGAAATCAGGGTTGTGCAGTTTGAAGAGTGGAGAGGAACAGTGTCTGCATTGCTTGAAGTCCAGAGTGAAGTGTCCACAGTCGAAGATGATTGGGTCACCGTGTCATCTGCTTGTTCTGGTCAACTGTGTTTTGCAAAATCCTGCAGGAATGTTTTAGAGCACCTCATGCTTCCTTCTGCTCACAACTTTATCGAGATACTGATTTCATTTTCCAGCAGGACTTGGTACCAGCCCACAGTGCCACAGGTAACTAAAGCTGCTTCAGTGACCATGGTGGTACTATTCTTGATTAGCCAGGAAACTGGCCTTAACTTTAACCCCACAGAGAATATATGGAGCATTGTCAAGAAAAAGACGACTCCAAACAATGTAGATGTTTAAAATATTCTGTTCCTAATTTCTGATGCAACCTTTTTCTTAAAATGAAAATTACTAGAAACAAAGGCTTAAAACATTTCACTCTGACAAAATATGAAATTTTTTTCACTATACTAGTTTTTGAGCTATTTTTGCATAGAATTATGTCCCTTTTGAGCAGATCTTTAGAATTATCGGTCTTTTTTGACAGGTGTAGTCTAGTTTGCAGAAGTTGGAATGAAATTATTGAGCAGGACCACCAAGCTAGCCTGAGGAGAAGGATCCATCTGAGTGAACTAGAGGATCTTCAGGTACTTCTCTGCAATCATAAGTGTTTTTTTTACATCTACCAGTGCAGTGGTTTAAACTTTGAGCAATTATGTCATTTTAACATGATTCATGGGATGGACTATTTGTTTCAAGCAAAAATGCTTGAATGCATGAGCAAGATCAGTGTTTACTTGTTTCTTGTGATGTTTAAAAAATTTTTTTGGTGGTGTTACAGTATGGTGTGGGTGTCCTCCAAATCTCTGAGGGGGAGACCAGATCAGCTCTGTCAAAGAGGTCAGCCTTAAAGAAGATTCAGGCCCAGTCCAGAACCTCTAGCTACTGCACCCCCCAGTCGGCAAACAACACTTTGGCCACGCCACAGCATGGCACTTTAAGTACAGGCAGCAGCATCAAACGGGACAAATTTCTGGAGGTGAGTTGTGAATAATCCAGCAAAAGGCAAATTTTCAATGCTCTATAAAACCTTTAGCAATGACTTCATTTAACTTTCTCCCAGGTTGCCAAAACCCTCTTCCATGATGAGTGCCTCAAGCCTTGCCCTAGATGTCAGCATCCTGCAAGGTGTCACTCGGTGAAAGGGGAGGGTGTGTGTAGCAGAGTCGACTGTGGCTTTCAGTTTTGCGTATCCTGCTTGTGTGCTTTCCATGGGTCCAGAGAATGTGGCAGTCAGTCAGCGGGCCGTCGCAAGAAGGACAAGCTTCTTCCAGGAAGTGCTCAAAGCAAGCGAAACATTCGAAGACTGTAATTAAATCTTTACTCCAGTTTGTCATGTGGACAATTTTAAATTGCAAATGATTACCCCAACTTTTTACAGCAAGTTTCTAAACAATGTCTGCGCTACTGAATGTCTTTACTTAAGCACTTTTCTTTCAGCACAGATTTTTAACTATGGAATTGGGTTCTGATGTACTTTGATTACTGTTTTTTTTTTTCTGTAAGTTTGAAGTAGTCAGGTTTTACAAGTGCGTGTGTGTGTGTGTGTGTCCAGGTTAGTTTTTTTTATAATAAATTGCATTGTTTTTCTAAAAATGCCTCACTTCTCATTTGTTAGGGTTTTACATGGTTTGTTCAAATTGGTTCATTGTGGTATGGTGCCATCTAATGCCATAAAATGTGAACTGCAACAATGCCATTTTAATGTTACTTTTGCTATATACACGAGTTTAACATTAAAGTGATTTTGTAAAGTTAATGAGGCTTTTATTTCTTTTTTTTTCCACCTTTGATCATTAACATTGATGCAGCTTTGCAGAAATAACTTAAGTGGCTTCTGTTTTTTCTAGTTAATCTTTTACAATCGTCCTTGTGTTGAAAATGAGTCCATAGCAACCTGGACTGTTTGCAGTTATACCACGACACCAGTTTAAAAGTGACTGCTTTGCTTGTCTTTAGAAAATCTAGAAGATGCCTCTGAATTTCTAAGATGAACAATGTGTGGAGTTACTTCAGCTGGTAAGAGCAAAAGCTTATACTTTCAACCTTCTCGAGCATTTGTAATACACTACGCACTTGTAAATTAGACCTTTTTCTTTCCATTTTAAGAAACCCCCTTTCTTACTGCTGAAAACTTTGTGAGTAAACATTCTCATTTTTCAAAGAGCTACACCTTATGTTTAGCAGAGTTATCTGTTGCTGAATTGTTTTGTCTTTTTACAGAAGAGCTATCTGGCCTCAGATGACGTACTGGTTTACTATTTCAATGAGTTCTTAAGTCTGCCGGTAAAGTAGGCACAGGATATAGATATCTTCATACAAAAATAGCTTAAACCTTTCTAATGCCCATTATTTTTCAGTCTTTCTCAGAAGCTTTGGTGTACAACCAGCAATCTGGACTTTTTGAGGTGGCGACTGAAAAAGCTGACATTGTCGCCAAACAGATCAGAGCTACACTGAAACAATATAAATCATTACTGCTTTCTGATGACCTAGAAACATTTTCCAAAATGCCACCTGTACCGGACATCTGTTTCACTGTCACTGTAAGAACTTGTATAGGGAAAACGGCTGACGTATAGATTAAATTTTTCAATGTGATTTGAGTAATGTGTCTTTGCAGTGCCTCAGCAGAGAGGAAGGAACTCGGTGGATTACGGAGAAAAGACTACCTTTCTTCCTGCAGAGTGACTTCTATCATGAGTATAGGTACAGTTTTACATGCACCATTTAAAAAAAGAAATTAAATACAGGGTAGATCAGGCATTTGTAATGGCCACTCCTCAACGTTTTGTTTTAGTCACTTCTGAGCTAATTTGTCAGACAGCTTAGTCATCTTCCATTTGGAAGGCCTATTTGTCCAAAACTTTCCTTCTTGTCTGATATCTAAAAATGTTGCTTCAGTCTTTCAGACCTATGTTGATTCTTCATGAAGGCATCTATTTTTGAAATTGAACCAGTTCTCCTGCAGCAAAACATCCCCACAGCATGATGTGCCACCACCATACTTCACAGTTCTTAGGCTTGTGGTCTTACGCATGTTTTCCTCTAAATGTCACTATGGTTGTTTTGGCCAAACTTATTTAATCAGATCACAGGAATTGTTAGGAAATGCACTTTGACAGGATATGTATGTACATTATGTAATTTTTGTCCTTTTATGTTTCGAGTGAAGGCTTATTCCTCTTTGAGTCGCCTTCCAGCATCTCAGAACTTTAACTATGGATAGCAATATCTGAGAATGAAGCTTACAAAGTTATGACGTCATCTGGGCTTTCCCAAACTGTTATAAAGGCGTAGTAACCTTGGTGACAGTAAAGCTCTGACTTTAAGGAAAGTGATAAAAAAATAATCCCCCCTGCCCCCCCTTTTTTTTTCCAATTAAATGATTGCATATTCGGACCATTATAGATAGAATAATTAAAAAACAGTAAATTTCTACCAAAAACTAAATTTTTTTTAAATTTATTTCAGAGAAAAAAAAAAGTTAGTTTCTGAATTTCAAAAGTTGCCAGAAAAAACTTTGAAATTAATCTAAAAAAAAAAAAAAAGTTGGAGGTTTAAGTTTCAAAAATAATTTTTTTTCTGGAAAATTTCTGAGATCTCAAAATTTCTTGCAAATTTTTGACTTTGTAAACTCAGAAACTTTAATAAGTCAAAATTTTTGAGTTAAAAAAAAAAAAACTTTTTTTTTTTTTTAGGGGAAAAATTTCCACAAAAATTTCCTCTGGGTTTTCTTTTATATCTACATTGCCCCTAATATGCCGTCATATTTTTGCAATTCTAGCCTGTTCTAGAAATATCAGAGGGAATGTTATGATGGTTTTGAATGAAAAGTAATATTTTTGTATTTATTGTTTGAGTTCAGAAAAGTGATTAAATCATCTCTCTACCAAGTAAAAGCAGTAATAAACATGGCAACACTCAGTTGGTTTCTAAATTAAGCAAGCAAACATGTGATTTGAGATTTTGTGATGGTTGATTTCTTCCAGACTTGCCAAGCTGCTGTTTCAGTGGAAGCCAACCTTTTGGAGCCTTGACTGGAAAAACTGGTCAGATGAAAAAGACATTAGCAGTTATGCAATCTCAGAATTGCTTGATTACTCTTCTTCTGAAGAAGATTCTTCAGATTCTCTGGAGAGTATATCACCAGAACCAGGTAGATTTCTAGATCTAATACTGTTAAGTTAAAAATGTCGTTTATTTATTTAATTTATAGATTGAATTTGTTTTCTGACAGAGATCAACAAGGCTTACAACAAATGTTTCTGACATTAAGAAGTCCTGTCCATCTCATACTCACTCAAAAACACATTCATTTTCTTTTTTCCTCTTTGTCTTAATCAGCAGTTGAATGTGAGCAAACTCAAAAACTCCACAGCTCATCTGACCTGTCAGCGGGTCCGTCAGACAACCTGACTGCTGAAGAACAGCCAGCGTACTTTGCTAGTAAAGTGGTTGGAGGCCAGCCAGACCTCTCCAGGACAGATGACCAACACGAAGCAAAGAAAGAGAAAACAAAACTGGCGAGGAAGAACTCAACACCATTAAACAGCGCAAAGGATAGTAGAAATAAGCCAGCAGAGGTTAAGAAGAGTCCTATTTTGTGCTGGCAAGCCTCCAGTGCTGATGAGAATAGGCCAGGCTTGGATGAGTTCAAAGAGTTTTTGCGAGGAACGTCAGGAGAGAAGCTTCTAAATCTGTGGATGGATGTTCAGACACTGATAGCGTTGCAGACGGAAGAACGAAAAAAAAGGTAAAACATTTGTATTTTTATCTGATTCAATCATCTTGTCTCATGTGATGTAAAAAGGTGAATGTATCATCTGGCCCAGATATTTAGTTCTGTTGAGGAACTGCTACCTGAGGAGCAGCAGTCCTTGTTGTTTGAATGGGGAGCTGCTTGCAAGGTTGGGGCTGACTAACTCCCCCTGCTGGACAGAGGAGAAACTGTTCTCGGTTCAGGAACTACTAACTGAGCCTCTACTCAGCTACTGGTGTGGTCCACAGTTTAGATTTATATTCGCATTTAACAGAGTCCTGTTCTATAGCGTGCAGCCAATTAACATGCACACTTCATCCACCTGTCCTACAGGTTACCTCGGTACTGGATGAAGACGTGTTGCAGACAGCCTGGCAGTCACTCTGAAGAGTATCTGTCCCCATTCCATCATTCTGCTATGACTCAGGTAGGCCTCATGTCATTTCACTGGGTGCTTATTCTCAGCCAGGGTGTTCAAATCTTTTCAAACATGGACCAAAGCCATGTTACAAAACTCAACTCAAGAGTACACCCGGGCCGAAAAATAAAAATAGTTTTAAACACTGAAATCACGAAAGGTTTTGACTTTTTTTTTTCCTCCTCAAAAATGAAGTAATCAAGAAATATTTTACTAAAATACAGAAAATTGTCAGATTTTCTTTTGTAGGAAAGGAAGGTGTAAATCAATCAAACTTCAAAAGGGTTTCACATGCTTTTCTTATTGAAAGAGATACAACTATTTTACTTATTTATTTAGGGCTTGACTGAAAAAAAACTGAAAATGAGTTAGTAAATTCTCAGCAATAAAATCATGAGTTAGTCAGTCTTTATTTGAAAATATTTTAATAATGTCATTAAAAGCAGATTTGGGAGCAGTATATATAGCATATGTCAATGAACAAATCTGGTGCTTAGACTTCTTGTAATGAGCAGTGAATCAGTTAGTCCCATGATAAATTAAAACAAGCTCAATAATTTCCATTTGCATGATTTATCATTTTTCTCTTTTCTCTTTATTTTTCTACCAAAAACTGGATGACAAAAGTCTTCAGTTTGGTGCTTTGGTCTCAACTATCTCTTTTCTTTTGAAGAACATTTTTGTATAAAGAGACTTCATAATTCATTTTGTTTATTGCTTCTGTTGTTTTGTTTATTTATTTTGGATATTTAAAATTTTTTCCAGCTTTGGTGGCACAGGGGTAAAGTACAACCCACGTAAGGAGGCCTTAGTCCTTGATGTGGATGTCACAAGTTCAATTCCAAGCCTGATGACCTTCACCACATGTCTTCCCTCTCTCTCATGACATACTTTCCTTTCTAACCACTCTCAAATAAAGGCCACTACAGCCAATAAAACCTTTAAAAAATCTTCCAATTCCAGTGTTAAATGTTCACTAGAATTTAGAGTTTATTGATCTTTGAGAATGTGTTCTTGCATTATTATGCCATTATCATGATATCACTTGAAAATGGTCTCAAAACAGCAAATATTATCATGTATCACAATAACATTTGGAATCATTTATCATCCAGCAAAATTTGTTATTGTGACAGGCCTCGTGGTCCTATATTCTACCAAGAAAGTGAAGAGAAAGCAGAAAACCTTATTAAAAGATGGATACTTTGTGTTGTATCTGACATTTTGTGATACGATTTCAATTTGTGGCTCATAGTTTTGTCCTAATGGGAAAAAATGTCTTCATCTTCATGGTCCATCTGCACTGATGGGTCAAATTCACATTACATTGGGGCTGCACTTTGAACACCCTTGTTCCAAAAGCTGGCCGTATTTTTATTTTTATTTTTTAAGATCTTAACTTACAATTTTCTAAAGTAACTTATACTGTGGTGTATATATTTCCTAAGATGTCTGCCAAATGTGAGACACCATTTGGAAGAAGAGTGAAACCGATGATGACGTCTCTGTTTATTGAGTTCCGGACTGGGCTGTACTTCACACACTACTGTGAACAATCTGGAAACAAGGTACAAACAAAAATCTGAAAGGTTCTACTAAACAGTTGTGCATGGATACGTGATATTACATCACAAAGGCAATTCACTATTTTGATACTTTAAAATAAATCCAAATACTGGTAAATGAAGTACAACTCTGAGCCCCTTTGAACACCTTCATTTTTGCTCAAAATATTTAAGTAATTTTTCTCTTTTCAAGTCGTGTGTGTGTGTGTACTGAACTGACTTAACTGTACTGTACTGTCCCTAAATTATTTGGACTTGTACTTTGTCGTACATCTTTAGTAAAACTTAAAAAGAAATTGAGGGTTTATGGTTTTGAAAAGAATATCATTCCCAACAATTATAGATGGGGACCATATGCCAAAAAATGTAATTCTTCCATTTTTTTAATTGCATCTCTGTTTCATTCCAACACACCCACAGATTTTTAATCTGATCGAAAGGGTACAGTTTAACGATGGAGTCATCTCATTTGTTTTTATCCAAAGAATTTCTGACCATAGGGATACTGCCTTTTGTGGAATTTTTTTTATGCCCAATATTTAAAAAAGTTAAAAAATCCCATTTTACATTGCTGATATTATGGTAGGTATATGCTGACCCATA